GGAAAACATGGAGAGCATATAGTATCCATCTCACAGGACCGGTGGAGCAATTAAGTGAGGAAAGTCACATAGGAAGTGCTTTATAAATTGTAGCCATGATTACTATCACTCCTGTGGGAATTTAATTGATGCCCACTATTTGCTCATATGTTTTTCTGGGATGTTCACATGGTGTTTAATAAATAACTAGGTCTAGATCAGGTGTTGAAAAACTGCAACCTACTGGCCAAGTCTGGCCCACACCTTGTATTTGTAAATAAAGTTTTATTGGAATAAAGCCATATCCATGTGTTTATATATTGTCTATGGCTGCTTTTGTTCTACAGTGGCAGAGTTGAGTATTACAACAGAGACCATATGGCCCTCGACACCAAAAATATTCACTAGATGGCCCTTTGCCAAGCCCTGGTCTAGATAGTCATATTTTAAGTGTCTTAAGGTATATAAATAAATAGATGTGGACAAATTTGTAATTCTGTGTCTCAGTTTCTCTAACTGAAAAATGCATATATTAGGTAAGATGACTCCTAAATAGGATCTTTCTAGAACTATTCAGTTATCATTGTAACTTGTGGAATCTGCGAATTTGCAGTTGGTTTATTCTTTCTGGTGGGCTCTTCTATAAGCTGTAAGGAGAGAGGAAAAGCAGAAGACAACCCTCAGTGACTCAGATGTCAAATATCACGGTAAAGCATGAGAAACGATTTATCAGAGAGGGGGAGGGCACTTTTGTGAGGCTTTTACTTTTCTCTCTCTGCTGCCAGGTGCAGGAGATCTTGGTAACCACTGGGCCCCTTCCTGGCTGATTTAACAATTTCGCCAATTCTTTGGCTTCAAAACACCCCCTTCTTCTGTCTCCTCACTGCCTGCCCTCCGTAACACTTCCTCTGCAGGCTGGCCCCTGACTTTTTGTCTTCCTCTAGCCTGACTTATTCTCCAATGGTTTCTCAGCCCTTGGTTCTCCACTCCCTCCCCCAAATGTGATGAAGGCGGGCTGCCAAGTCTCCTGGCCTCCCTCAGCTATGCCAACGGTCCTGCCTCCAGCAGGGCCTCCAGCTCAGGGCCTGAACTTCCAGCAGCAGGGGGACCAGCAAGTCCTATGAAAGGGAAATACCACCAACCAGTAATCTTGTGTCCTTTGAACTTTTGGATTGGGAAGCAGGGAAGGCTGGGAGATGTTTGACGATTTCCATTGAGCACCTAGGGAACAGCCTTAGACAGTGAGTCATGACCCCGTCTCAGCTCTGCCCCAAACCCAGTGCGAAGTCCTTGGGCTAGTCCCTTAGCTTCCCTGAGTCTCAGTTTCTCTGTGTAAAATGAAAACAGTTCCTTTCCTGCTCTCCTCACAGGGCTTTATGCTGGTCACATGTATGTGAAAGAGCTTTCTTTTTTTCTTTTTAAAATAAATGTTTGATTTATATTTTTTCCATTTCAAAATTACCTCATGCTCAATGGAATATTATTCAGCCATCAAAAGGAATGAAATAATGCCATTTGCAGCAACATAACCTAGAGATTATCATGCTAAGTGAAGTAAGTCAGAAAGAGAAAGACAAATACCATATGATATTACTTATATGTGGAATCTAAAATATGAAACATATCAACATATCTGTGAAACAAAAATAGACTCACAGACATAGAGAACAGACTTGTGGTTGCCAAGGGGGAGGGGGTGGGGGAGGGAAGGAGTGGGAGTTTGGAATTAGCAGAGGGAAACTATTACATATAGGATGGATAAACAACAAGCTTCTACTGTATAGCACAGGGAACTATATTCAGTATTCTGTGACAAACCATAATGGAAAAAAATATGAAAAAAAATTGCCTGATGATTATGTGCTATAAGAACATGTGTCATTTTATGGCCACCCAGCAGCATACACACCCTTCATTACACACCCTGATTTCCTCTGGGAGAGTCAGCCTACAACCATTGTGTATCATCTTGATGAGATTAAAAAAGTTCAGCTGCCTGTGCTCTGAGGGCTCAGATTCTTTCTTTCTTTCTTTCTTTTTTTTTAAAAAATTTTTATTGGAGTATAGTTGATTTACAACATTGTGTTAGTTTCAGATGTACAGCAAAGTGAATCAGTTATACATATACCTATTATCCACTCTTTTTTAGATTCTTTTCCCATATAGGCCATTACAGAGTAGTGAGTAGTGTTCCCTGTGCTATACAGTAGGTCCTTATTATATCTGTTTTTTATATAGTTGTGTGTATATGTCAATCCCAATCTCTCAATTTATCCCTCCCCCCTTTCCCCACTGGTAACCATAAGTTTGTTCTCTACATCTGTGACTCTATTTCTGTTTTGTAAATAAGTTCATTTGTATCATTTTTTTAGATTCCACACATAAGTGATATCATATGATATTTGTCTTTGTCTGTCTGACTTACTTCACTTAGTATGATCATCTCTAGGTCCATCCATGTTGCTGCAAATGGCATTGTTTTGTTCTTTCTGATGGCTGAGTAGTATTCCATTGTATGTATGTACCACATCTTCTTTATCCACTCCTCTGCCAATGGGCATGTAAGTTGCTTCCATGTCCTGGCTGTTGTAACTAGTGCTGCTGTGAACATTGGGGTGCAGATTGTTTCTTTCCTGCCTCCTGTGGCCAGAAGGTGGGCTGTGGCTTCAGCTCAGCCCATAGAAGCTCTCTGCTGGGACTTTGATTTTGAATGTGTGAAATTGGTCAGTGAAGGGATTGGCATTCTTTTATCAGGGCAGCAATGTCTCTACCAGGCTGCTCCACTACAAGACCAGTCCTGTAATTCCTGCTTTCTAGCCCCTGAAGCTAAAGCGGTTTCTGCCTATTTCTGGTTGGAGGCCTAGCTCTCCAACTTTTCTGCATTATTTTCAATAAATTTTGTTTAAGTTGGTCAAAATTTATTTCTGTTACCTGTAATCAAAACCCCCAAATGACACACATGTTGAGAACCATTTATGGAGCACTTATTATATGTAGGGCCATGTACTTAGGGCTCTGCATCCATTATTTAAATTAATCTTCCTAAGAACTGGACATTATTATTTCTACATAACATATGAGGAAACTGAGGGTTTGTGAGGCTGAATAACCTACGCACGTTTGTGTAAGGAGCAAGTGACAGAACTGGGAACCAAGGAACCAATGTTTGAACCAAGATGTCTTTGATTCTAAACATTTTAAACTTTATACTATGTGAAAATGGTATAATAGCGAGAGTCTTGTTTTGTAACCTGTGTTTTTGGTTTAGAAATTTATTATGAACTTCTCCATGTCAATAATATTCTTGAACAATATGACAATAATGGCTACCTAATAATCCGTCGTTTGGATTCACTAACACTTACCTAACCAAATTCATATTGATTGAATTATAAAATGCACTTAATGAATATTCTTAAACTTTACTTTTCTACCTATCTCAGATTTTCTCCTTAAAATAAGATCTTAGATATGAAACTTCTGGGTTTAAAATTCCTGCATAATATTAAGGTTTTTGATGCATATTGACACAGTGCCCATCAGAGAAATCTTATCAAGTTTTGTTCCCATTAAGCAGTGTGTTTGGGTACCAACGAAAGGGTTTTTCAATGGGGAATATTGCTAAAACGTTACAAAGAGCTCATAAATTAATGCCCCTCTTATTTGAAAAAAAAGGTAAAATGCACTTCTAAGTTATATCTACCACAGGGAAATAATATAGAAATAAAAATAAATAAGGATGCAAATTAAGGTACAACCCGAAATGCAATTAGTATTCAAAGTGTCGGCATTGGGTTCCTATACAGATCCTTGGAGAAAGGAAATTAGTTTTGAGGGTTTTTTTAAAGGAGCGAAATCAAAGAGGGAAACAGGAGGATGATCATGATGCTGACGATGATAGAGGGGAGGAGGAAGAGGCGGATGGTCATAGTAGCTGCTTAGATTTTCTTTATTTCTGAGGCTTTGCATCTGCATTCCTGCAGGAGACAAAGGAAAGTGAGGTTTCTCAGACTTTTGGTAGCCCCTGTGGTAAGAAGGCCACCCAGACTTACATATTTGAGGCAATAAATGGTGATCAAACAGTATGACTTAAAGGGAACAAAACTCTTCTTCTCCATATACCACCCTTTTTATTCCTCAATAAATACACATTGGTTTCTTTTGTAAGAACGCCTACATTAAGATGAAAAGCTGACATCTGAAAATTTTATTGCCCATCATGAAAACTCTAGCTGTAATTACGTCATAAATTTTATTCCAATCATTTAACAAGACCTAAGAGAATGAGATACAGGACTGAATTATTTTCAAAGGGACAGGGGAGCTAGAAAAGTTAAAAATTATCATAATGAGGAGGAAGAGATACTTCTAGGAAGTTCTGGAGACATTTGGGAAACAGATGGGAGCTTGAGGCTTCAGGGAGCCTGGAGTGAGGGTATGAAGAGCCATCAATAGATAGGAAGTGGGATGTATCACAGGGAGAAATAAGAATGAACTTTGCACTATTTGATAGAGTAGTACAGGTATGTTGTAGCAAATGCTAGTAATATGTCAGGGTTTAACGTGAGAAGTGAGTCTCCCAGCACCTCAGTGTATTTCATAGATTTTAGGATCCAGCCGAATATCTTTGAAAGTGGGATGCATCTTACAATCAATGGTGCATATTAAAATCTATGATGTCTTCAGCTTTTGTGTGTGTGCATGTGTGTGTGTGTGTGTGAGAGAGAGAGAGAGAGAGAGAGAGTGAGAGAGAGAATACTCTTCATAACAGGAAATGTCTGACAGAATATATATTGACTACTTATTCCATTTACATTAATAGTTGCTGTCCGCTTAGGTTTCATTTATTCTTTTTTTTTGAGAAAGGACCTTATAGTTCTGAACCTGGTGTCTTCATTCTACCAAAGAGGAAATGGCTCTGAGGTATTAGGTGACTTTGTCCCTATCACATGTGTTTTGCGAGCAGTGGTCTGAGTGAGCATTCAGAGCATCACTTCTCAAAAATGACTTTTGAATTACAGGGGGTTGGGAGCCCCAAGCAATCCGATCTGTTTGGAGCTGGAAGGACCAAGAGTGGTGAGGGCTGTGCTGTGTGGAAAGTGCTCCTCGATAGCAGCAAACCACGGAAGGGGAGGGAGATGAAGACACTGATCATGGCCTGGGGCAGTCGGTAAGTATGAGAGTGGTGGGACTTCCCTGGTGGCACAGTGGGCAAGAATCTGCCTGCCAATGCAGGGGACATGGGTTTGATCCCTGGTCCGGGAAGATCCCACATTCCGCGGAGCAACTAAACCCGTGCGCCACAACTACTGAGCCTACGCTCTAGAGCCTGCGAACCACAGCTACTGAGCCCACATGTCACAACTACTGAAGCCCGGGTGCATAGCGCCCATGCTCCACAAGAGAAGCCACCACAATGAGAAGCCCCCGCACCGCAACGAAGAGTAACCCCCGCTTGACACAACTAGAGAAAACCCGCACACAGTAACAAAGACCGAACGCAGCCAAAAAAAAAAAAAAGAGTGGTTCCGTTTTACTGACTTTTTCTCCTTCCTCCCTCCCTCCCTCCCTGCCTTCCTTCCTTCCTTCCTTCCCTCCCTTCCCTCGCTTCCTCCCTCCCTTCTCCATCCCCCTCACTTTAAAAGGCTGTGAGGCATGATAAGATAGTGAGTTCATTTATCCCTTTGAATGAGGAGGGTGCCTCTTGCCTTCTTGGCCATGGAAGAGACACCTGTTCTGTGTTCTCTCCCTAACTTATGGGAATCAGAGTTGCACTTGTTATTTAAGTATAGATTTGTGTTCAGGTGGGCCTGGACGAAGCAGACTGGTCACATTTTTCCCTCCTGAAGGCCCTAAAATTGTCGCACCTCGTTTTTAGCCCCCTTACTGATATTGTACACTCCCTTCCCACAATTTTCTCTCTCTCCAATTAAATGATATTCTGACCATCCTCAGGTCTAATTGGGACACAGCTGAGTAGTATTTTCAGGAACTCTTTTCCAGTCACTATCTTCTTTGAGTCTTAGTGCTGCCATTTGAGCCATGTGACCTTGGGAATGTTGAACCACAGTTTGCTCATCACATGTAGGGATAGTGAGAAGATGAAATGAAATAATGCACACAAAGTCTTTTCGTTTCTCAATGTCAGATGCATCACTTACATTCAGTAAATGATAGCAATTTTTATGATTTTTTTGTGGTAGCCCCACTTCCCCTTCATCAAGCACTATATTACAATTCTTTCACCATTATAGCAAATTGATTCTCTATAAAGTATAGCTTTTAATATTAATTCATGGTATTTGTGTAATTTTGAGTTGTTACTCTCCCAAGAGTGTTTGCATTCTTCAATTTTATTTTTGCAGAGCGTAATGGCCCTTCTTATATTGAAAGAAGTTCAGTGAAGTCATTTCATGGGGTACGCTACGGGGGAGGAGAGGAGGGATGCCTTCCTATCCCCTTTCTCTCCTACTTCCACCTTTAGTTAAGGCTGATCTTATTGTCTACATAAGCATTTCCCCTGGTTCTAAATGCCCTCTTTGTGACAGTCCCAGTCTTGTGTACACTGATTCTAGTCGTGGTCTTCCTGAAGGCCCGTCCCATTTAACTTATCTGTTCCAGAAAACCATTCTACACCTTTGAAAGCAGGGACTCTTTTCTTTTTCTTTCTTTCCTTCCTTCCTTCCTTCCTTCCTTCTTTCTTTCTTTCTTTCTTTCTTTCTTTCTTTCTTTCTTTCTTTCTTTCTTTCTTCCTTTCTTTCTTCCTTTCTTTTCTTTCCTCCCTTCCTTCCTTCCTTCCCTTCTCTCTCTCTCTCTCTCTCTCTTTTCTTTTTCTACTACCACCTCCTTCCTTTCTCCTGGTAGTGATACATTGGATACCCCAGCCAAGCTACATTTCGGATATTTCCACCTCGGACAACTCTCTCCCATGTCTCAAATCCTTGTTAGATCTCTCTCTCTTCCCATGTCTGTATAATAAAATATACTCTTTCTTCTATTTGTGAATCTAAAAATGACTATGATCATAAATCATAAGTATAGGAGACAACAGTGTCCAGTAAAAGGAAGCTGTAAAGATTTTTGTCTTTTTATTGCATTTATTCAGATTATAAAAGTAAGACAGAGTGGCTTAAAAAGTTTGACGGATTTAAAAATGTGAAAGAGAGTCTCATATAACTTCACCTACAAGAGGCAACCTCTGATAACAGTTTGGGGCATACTGGTTCAGGTTTTTGTTTTTGTTTTGTTTTGTTTTCCTGGTGGTGTTAAATTTTGAGGTGTATTTAGACATAATGAAGAAGAGTTGGTTTCCTGAAACTCTAAAAAAATTTTGAGGTGTATTTAGGCATAATGAGGAAGAGTTGGTTTCCTGAAACTCTTAAAAGCCTTTGAAAATACCCAGACCTGCTCTTAGGAATCTGCATTAAATCTCCAATAAAATCTGGTCTTCCTCAAACTGAACATTCAAAATACATAAAAAGAATTCTTACTCAATTTACTATTTTGTTTAATAACTACCATTGCTAAAGTATTGTATTGCACTATTTTCTTAATAAACAAAGTGGGGTTCAGATTCATGATAGGTAAAACAGGCCTAATCTTGAAACTTGGCCATCTTAAAATATTATTTCTGTAAGAAAATGTGTACCAACAAACTTTGGGAAGATAATTTGGGAACAGCTAGTATTTACTTCAAAGGGAATGAAGATTTTGGTCAGAAGCATGCAGAAAAGGACCAGATTTGGAGCAGATTCCACTTCATTAGGTGGCAAAGGAAACCTGGCTTAGGATCCAGCTCTGGCTCAGATGATAAAACCTTGGGCAAGTCAGTGAACTTTGCTTGGCTGTCTGGACCTTGCTAGGTAATATTGCAGCAGATATCAGCTGTATGCATGAACATTGCATTGTGGCTGCCAGGAAGGCAACAAATAATGGCTTGAGAATGGAAAATGGGACTGTTATGTTAAAAAAAAAAAAGTGCAGTCAAGTTATTTTAGAGAAAAAAAGAGTTGATTTTTAGGGCTAACACTAGCAAAGGGCAGCAAATTAAGAACAGCTGAGTTAAACAGGCAGTGAAAGTGAAAACTGGGGAATTGAGGCTATACCATTACTTTTCAAAGGCAGCAGGATCTGCATTCTTGTGCTCTTCTCTGAACACTGGCTATCGCTGCTCTCCCATAATTTTGCCTTCCAGGTGATGGGTCTGGCTGTGAGCTTGACTCTGAGCCAAATTTTAATGTCCTTGAAACTTGTCTCCTCCAGCTAATTGAGCCTGTCTTTCAGTGTCCCAATGGCAAATTCCCAGAATGGAAAAATCTGATTGGCCCGGATTATTGTCAAGTGTCCCTCCATCATCCAATCAGCTGTAACTGGAGATGCAGTGAGCACTGGGGTTGGGAGTAGATTCCCTCAGAAAAAAGCTGTGGCAGCACTGGCTGCCATCTTTGACATAACAGGAAAAGAAATGGGGCTTTATAACTTCTAATTGTTCCTTGACAGCTTTTATTTCAATTTAATTCCATTCAAAAAATACTCAAATCTCTTCAATTCTAAAGACATGCTTTTTCATAAGTTAATGTATCTGATATCTAGTCATGCCCCACAATCATTGTGTTCATTTAATGATGTATGTTGTAGTATTTCTTCTTCCTCCTCCCCTCCCACAGCCAAAAACTATTATTAAACTGATGAGATTTTTAAACCGAGGGAATATTGCATGTATTATCGACAGGGCATCCATTGCTTTCCATGGAAGATATAATGCCCCTAGATATAGGGCAGGGTTGGAAGATGGGGAAATATTACAGTGTCTTCTTTCCACCACATCTTTTTTTTTTTTAAATGGCAGTGCCACACTTTTATTTTTTAAAATCAATTAATTTATTTGTTTTTGGCTGCGTTGGGTCTTCATTGCTGCACGCGGGCTTTCTCTAGTTACGGTGAGTGGGGGCTACTCTTTGTTGCGGTGCGCGGGCTACTCATCGCGGTGGCTTCTCTTGTTGCGGAACACGGGCTCTAGGTGCGCAGGCTCAGTAGCTGTGGCTTGTGGGCTCAGTAGTTGTGGTTCGTGGGCTCTAGAGCACAGGCTCAGTAGTTGTGGCGCAGGGGCTTAGTTGCTCCGGGGCATGTGGGATCTTCCTGGACTAGGGCTCGAACCCGTGTCCCCTGCATTGGCAGGCGGATTCTTAACCACTGTACCACCAGGGAAACCCTCCACCACACCTTAAATCCTGCACCAAAAGAAAAAGGAGGCTGTTTTCCTCTTTGCTATAAGAGATGAAGTTCATTAAAGATTCTGAGGTGGTCTCAGGATTTATAGCCCTGAGAAGCAAACATTTATTTTATAGAATAATAACTATCAGTGCTGACTGAGCAGGAAACCAACACTAGAGCACGTGTGGGCACAAAATGTAGCTTTGTATGCAACCAAATTCCAGGCAATTGCCTCGTCTAATTCACTCAGAATTTTTTTTTAATGCTTCCTTTGGAACTGAAGTTCTTTCTGTTTGGTTTCAGCCCAAAGGTGAGCATTTTTTTTGAGAAGGTTAAATCTTTTCAGATGTTTCTGAGGTGTACAAAGAGGAAAAGCTAAACCATCTTCTATTTTGCATACTTCTAGCTTCCATTACCCAAATGGGTTTGAACTTTACTATTTTTATTCTATTTTGAGTCTCATGATCTGCTCAAAAAGTAGCTTATGGAAAAAAGTTCTTCTCAGATCAGTCCTGAAAATAGCTACTTTTGTATTTGCTTAGGTGAGTAAACTTTTCAAACTATGTGAGAGGCCCACATAAGGCCTATATATAGAAATTCATCAACTGGAAAACTGGCAGAATGAATCTATTAAAATCCAGAAAAAACTTGAATCAAGTTTTTAAAAAATAGTTAATCTTTAAAGCATCCATGAATTGGCAAGCCTTCAAGCAAATTATTGAGGCAGCATATATAGTGGGTCAGCTTTGATGCTTATTAGCTGTGTGTGGTTGGTTAAATTGCTTCCCCTTTCTGTGTTTTAGGTTTCTCATTTATAAGAGCGTGATAATAAAAGAACTTATTTCAAAAGATTGTTGTGAGCAATAAATCAGATAATAAACCCAAAGCACACAGAACAGTGAGTGACATTATAAGCTATCAATAAACTGTTTTCTATTCATTACATTGAGACCACCTTAAGATAGCTACAGAGCTTCCCTGGTGCCCCAGTGGTTAAGGATCCGCCTGCCAATGCAGGGGACACGGGTTTGAGCCCTGATCCTGGAAGATCCCACATGCCGTGGAGCAGCTAAGCCCGTGTGCCACAACTACTGAGCCTGCGCTCTAGAGCCAGGGAGCCAAAACTACTGAGCCTGCGAGCCACAACTACTGAGCCCACAAGTCACAAGTACTGAAGCCTGTGTGCCTACAGCCCGTGCTCTGCAACAAGAGAAGCCACAACAATGAGAAGCCCGCACACTGCAATGAAGAGTAGCCCCCGCTCGCCAAAAGTCGAGAAGGCCCATGTGCAGCAGCGAAGACCCAACACAGCCAAAAATAAAAACAGATAAATAAATTTATAAAAAAAAAGATAGCTACAAATACCATTTAATTAAGAAATCAGCATTGCCATTTTAGTGATCACTTGGTGTTTCAACTCATTATTTTCAAACTCAATTGAAATTTTTTTTTCTTATTTCAATGATTTCAAGTGTTTCTTTACAGTTGAAGCGACCTGCCAAATGCAGATGGATTGGGCCGTTTGGAAATGGGACAGTTTCTGAGTATGAGCATTCAATATGCATAGTAAAAATTCCATGCTACTCACTCGACAGCACATTTGGAGATACTCTTTCTGACATTTAATATGTCTCTGGAAAAACAAAAGATGACTCATGTAGAAATAGTAGATTCTGTTGGCTCCCAGCAGATCCTCCTCGGCCCATCCACACCCCACCACCCCCGGTGTTAGCTTTGCCTAAGAACCATACAACGTGGGGTATCACTGTGATGCCACCAACAGTTTTTAAACGGCTTAATACACTTCTTTTGTATGATGCTAATGGATTCCTGGTATTTCATTTTAAGGCTGGCTAGGCCAGAGCTCCACGCTTACCATCAGTGACCATTTCACAAAGTGCCTGGAAACAAGGCAGACACTCGATTTGTTCAATGTGTAATAAGCAAAGGACAGATTTCCACTACAGATGAATTTTGATTTCCATGTTATATATGTTCCTAAAATTTGTGCTGTCAACTAATTTTTTATAAATTGAATATTCATCATATTGCCTTTTTCATAGACTTATAATTTCAGATACCTTTTTACTCATCTACAGATATTTAACACTTAAGGTTTAAGTGTTTCTTCCCTCTTCCGATTTCACAGCTTTCTAACACCCACTCCCTCTTAACTGTAAGAAATTAATGGTATGTGGGCATCTCTTTTGAATAGAATAATCAGCTGCCCCCCCCCCCCAGCGTACTGCTTGCAAATTTTAATTCCCAAGGATAGGTTATCTTCAAGTCAGGGCATACTTATAAATACGTTTATTTCACCATCAGGAGGCAAATAGAAAATAAATTTCAAAGGTAGATAATGTCTCAAATTTTATAACCCTAAAATTAGTGATTAGAGACAATACCAAGCCTGAGAAAATAAAAGATGAAAATTTTGGGTTAAAATCTCTTAAATGTAACAAAAAACCTTGTTACATTTATGACTCAAAAACCAAGGTACCTATTTTGCCTTGGCATAAATAATATGTTGGCTAGCTAGGAATGGTTGTAATTATGTGGTATACAATAAAGGGCTCTATAGATGCCAAAAACAGAAAAATGGAACCAGACCAGAAATCATGTACTGGGTAAACAGCTTCCCAGACAAATGAATTTGGCTGATTTTTTTAAAACTAGTTTCTCTTACTTTCAGTTTTATGATCTTTATTGATAGATCCAAATTCTTTATTTAAAAATTGAGGTACAAGAGTTAGTATCATATACTTCATTCCATGAAATAGTGTAGTCACATATTTAACGGAATAAATTGACCAGACTTTGGGATACTACTTTTAGTACTTTAAATACCAAGCAACTTAAAGCTAACCTTTGTACAAGTTATAAAATAGAGTAGGAAGCTACTTTCTTGATTGATATCTTGAGATTTTTTGTTTTTGCTTTTTGGGTTTTTGTTTTCATCTCAGGAGAAAAATTTAATTCAATTTAAATTTTAATTCAACTTTAAATTCTCTTTGGTAGGAAGATGTCCAATAATTATGATTGTGAGTGTGAGAAATGTCTAATATTTTTTAATTTATAATATTTTCACCCAGAGATAATCACTCTTATCTTCAATATGAATATACCCCTCCTCTTATTCCCCCACCATTTACAATCAAGATTTTTTTTTTTTTTTTTTTTTCAGTACGTGGGCCTCTCACTGTTGCGGCCTCTCCCATTGCGGAGCACAGGCTCCGGACGCGCAGGCTCAGCGGCCATGGCTCACGGGCCCAGCCGCTCCACGGCATGTGGGATCCTCCCGGACCGGGACACGAACCCGTGTCCCCTGCATCGGCAGGCGGACTCCCAACCACTGCGCCGCCAGGGAAGCCCTGGCATTTCTTATTTATGTGTAGGACCCAGCCAGTCCAGGAGAATTGATGGCTTTGGAGGCATCCAGTTACTGTAGACTTGGCAAACACATTGGCATTGAGATGTCTTCAGAGCAGTTTTACGAGAAGTGGAAATGAATAAGTGGGAGCTGGAACATTACTTTGTGGATGTCTCATAATGGATTGTGCTAATAGATTGATGTGTGACAATGTATAATGTCCTCTTTGAGGATTCCTTTGATGTGGCACTAAACTGCTGCTTTAGCTGGTAAATAAGTGCTTGGCTAAAGATAGATGTAACCCTTATTTGCAGTCAGTCTGATGAAGGGGAAGCAGATATCCTTGTTTCCTTAAGTATGAACGATGCATTAACCACCACAGTCAAACAAGACATCAGAGCCCAGTCAAGAAAACAAAAAACACACTAGTTATTTTTAACAAAGAGAATTTTTTTGACCATTTCATCCAATAGGTATTTTATTTATTGATGATCTGCTAGAGCACCCCACTGATTATTTTTCATACATTTCATATTTAATCATCATAACAACACTGTAACCTAAGTATTTTTCCTATTTATTTATTTATCTATATGAATTTCAGGTGTACAACAGTGATTCAATGTTTTTTTCAAAATATTTATTTATTTATTTATTTGTGTTGTGCTGGGTCTTAGTTGCAGTAGGCAGGCTTCTTTGTTGTGGCTGGTGGGCTCCTTAGTTGTGGCTCGCCAGCTCCTTAGTGTGGCATGCAAACTCTTAGTTGTGGCATGCATCTGGGATCTAGTTCCCTGACCAGGGATCAAACCTGGGCCCCCTCCATTGGGAGTGCAGAGTCTTAACCATTGCACCACCGGGGAAGTCCCTTAATATCTTCATAGATTATATTCCATTTAAAGTTATTATAAAATGTTGGCTATATTTCCTGTACTATAGAATATATCCTTGTAGCTTATTGATTTTATACATAGTAGTTTGTACCTCTTTTTTTTTTTTAGTAATTATGGCGCCCGGGTTTAGTTGCTCCGCGGCATGTGGGATCTTCCCGGATCAGGGCTCAAACCCGTGTCCCCTGCATTGGCAGGCAGGTTCTTAACCACTGCGCCTCCAGGGAAGCCCTAGTTTGTACCTGTTAATCCACTTCACCTGTCTTGCACCTCCCAGCTTCTCTCTACCTCCCAATCCTGTAACCACTAGTTTGTTCTCTATATCTGTAACTCTGCTTCTGTTTTGTTATATTCATTCATTTCATATGTTAGATTTCACATATAAGTGATGACATTTGGTATTTGTCTTTTTCTGACTTATTTCACTAAACATAATATCCTCCAAGTCAATCCACATTGTTGCAAATGGCAAAATTCCATTCCTTTTTTTTTTTAACATCTTTATTGGAGTATAATTGCTTTACAATGGTGTGTTAGTTTCTGCTTTATAACAAAGTGAATCAGCTATACATATACATATATCCCCATATCTCCTCCCTCTTGTGTCTCCCTCCCTCCCTCCCTATCCCACCCCTCTAGGTGGTCACAAAGCACCGAGCTGAGCTCCCTGTGCTATGCAGCTGCTTCCCACTAGCTATCTATTTTATATTTGGTAGTGTGTATATGTCCATGCCACTCTCTCACTTCATCCCAGCTTATCCTTCATTCAATGCAATCTCTATCAAACTACCAATGGCATTTTTCACAGAACTAGAACAAAAAATTTCACAATTTGCATGGAAACACAAAAGATCCTGAATAGCCAAAGCAATATTGAGAAAGAAAAACGGAGCTGGAGGAATCAGGCTCCCTGACTTCAGACTATACTACAAAGCTACAGTAATCAAGACAGTATGGTACTGGCACAAAAACAGAAATATAGATCAATGAAACAGGATAGAAAGCCCAGAGATAAACCCACGCACATATGGTCACTTTATCTTTGATAAAGTAGGCAAGAATATACAATGGATAAAAGACGGCCTCTCCATTCTTTTTTTAATGGCTGAGTAGTATTCCATTATGTAGGTATGTGTATGTATATGTATGTAAATATGTGTGTGTGTGTATGTATATATCTTCTTTATCTTTATCCATCTTCTTTATCCATTCATCTCTTGATGGACACTTAGGTTGTTTTCATAGCTTGACTATTGTAAATAATGCTGGCTGCTATGAACATTGGGTTCATGTATCTTTTCAAATTAGTGTTTTTATTTTCTTCAGGTATATACCCAGCAGAGGAATCACTGGATCATATGGTAACTCTATTTTTAGTTTTTTGAGGAATCTCTATGCTATTTTCCATAGTGCCTGCACCAATTTACATTTCCACCAACAGTGTATGAGGGTTCCCTTTTCTTCACATCCCCTCCAGCTTTCATTATCTGTAGACTTTTTGATGATAGCCATTCTGACCAGTGTGAGGTGACTACCTCATTGAGATTTTGATTTGCATTTCTCTAATAATTAGCAATGTTGAGCATCTTTTCATGTGCTTGTTAGCCATCTGTATGTCTTCTTTGGAAAAATACTGCTTTAGGTCTTCTGCCTATTTTTTGATTGGAACTTTTCTTTTAATATATATATTGAGTCATATGAGCTGTTTGTATATTTTGGATATTAACACCTTGTAGGTTGCATCATTTGCCAATATTTTCTCCAATTCCATCGGTTGTCTTTTAACTTCTTACTCTCTTCATTCAATCTTCTCCTGAGTTCTCTGATCATCTTTGCTATCATTGCCTTGAAGTCTTTATCAGGTAGATTGCCTATCTCCACTTCACTTAGTTCTTCCGGGGTTTTATCTTGTTCCTTCATTTGGAACATGTTCCTTTGTTGCCCCATTTTGTCTAATTTGCTCTTTTTATTTCTATGTATTTGGTAGGTTTGTTATATTTTCCGACCTTGAAGAAGTAACCTCTTGTAGGAGATGTCCTGTGTGTCCCAGCAGTGCACTCCCCCCTGGCCACCAGAGTTATAAGCCCTATATGGGCTGCATGGGTCTTTCTGTTGCAGCAGGCTGACTACTGTGGGCAGGCTGGTAGATGTGGCTGGCCCCCAGTCTGGTTGGTTGCTGGGCTCTGCCTTCTGCAGAGGCCGCTGGCTGCTGGTTGGCATGGCCAGGTTCACAAGGCAGATGGCTGCAGGGCCCCACAACTGCCTTATTATGCTGGTCCACTATCCTGGGATTAGGTGGTTACAGGGCCTGGGTTCCCAGTGGCTGCCTGCTGGGGGGGGAGCCAGTTTCTGACACAGCTGGCTCTGGGTTCTGGGGTGTCCCAAAGCTGGTGCTGGCCTGCTGGTGAGTAAGGCTGTATCCCAGGGCAGCTGGCCAAGGGGTCTAAGGTGTCTCAGAGCTGGTGTTGGTCTGGTGGTGGGTGGGGCTGAGGCCCAGGGGTCATGAGGCTAGTGCTGTCACTGGTGGGTGGAACTGGGTCCTGTTATATCTGGCTGTGGGGCCCTGGGGTTTGGGGGCTAGGGCTAGTGCACTGGTGTGTGTGGCCAGGTCCTAGGCCCTCTGGTGGACAGGGCTGTGCCCCAGAGTGGGATCAAGGATCTTAAAAAGCAGCCTGCTTACTGGGGAATAGGGTATGTCCTTGCAGGGCTAATTGCTTGGCCTGGGGCATCCCAGTACCAGTGAGGACAGACTGGTACGGGGGGCTGGGTCCTGGTGCTGATAGGCTCGAGGGAGGGTTCCAAAATGACGCTCCCCAGCACCACTGTCCACCTGGTAGTAGGAGCTCCCCAAATGGCTGCAGCCAGTGTCTGTGTCCCTGGGGTGACCTCCGGGTTCCTCCTGCCTCTCTAGGAGTCTCTCCAAGATCAGGAGGTGGCTCTGACCCAGGCTCCTTTCAAATTATTTCTTCTGTTCTGGGTCCTGGAGCATGTGGATTTTGTGTGCATCCTTTAAGAGTGGAGTCTCTACTTCCCACAGCCCTCTGGCTCTCCCCAAAGTAAGCCCTGCTGCGGCCGTCAAATCCAAACATTCTGGGGGTTCATCTTCCTGGTGCAGGACCCCTGGGCTGGGGAGCCCAGTGGGGACCTCAGACCCCTCACTCTTTGGGGGAGAACCTCTGCAGTTGTAATTCTCGTCCCATATGTGAGTCACCTGTGGGTATGGGTCTTGACTATACCGTGTCTCCTACCCATCTTGTTGTGTTTCCTTCTTTATATCCTTAGTTGTAGAAGACCTTTTCAGCTTTTTCCCAGTCTTTCTCGTCAATAGTTGCTATGTAAATAGTTGTAATTTTGGTGTGCCCATGAGAGGAGGGGAGCTCGGCGTCTTCCTACTCCACCATCTTGCCCACCACTCCAACAGAGAAAATTTAATAAAGGAAATTGATTAAATAGTATTGGATGTAGGCAAAAAGGGAACATTAAGGTAATGCAGGTAAACACTTTCAGGGAGTAACTGTGACCCCCATGGCTGGGGGAACAAAAGGAAGAGTTAGATGTGCAAAATCTGCAAGCTTGGAGGGGCCCTAAGAAGATGGGTATACGACCTCCACAGAGGGGGTGCCGCCACCTGCTCTTGGCACATTACTGGGGGAGTGATGACATTGGCAAAAGGGATGGAGCAAATCCCTTCTTCCTCCTCCAGGCTTTTTGTCTCCCTCTACTGTTCCCATTCACAGAACCTAACAGAAAATGCTCTCGCAAAAGAGAAATGCCAGTCCCAGCATCATGGAGCATGTATACAAGGGTGGGTTTGTAGCTGAGAGACAGGAGCTTAATCCCTCACAGAGAGTGCTAAATGAGATCTGGACATTCCTGTTCCTCTGGTTATGAGTTATTAATCCATAACCACAAGCAAAGAAGCCTATGAAAAAGACAAGTTGTCTAACTAAGTAAGCCTAAGTTCATGGTAATTGAGTTCTCCATTAATCTATGCTTAGTAAGGAAATCCAATTGATTTTGTCAATAAACAAATAGCTGTAGTTTCCAAAATTATTTTAAAAACCTTTCTGAGAGAAAAACTTAAAATTGAAGAAATTCATATATCAATTTGGTATTTTTAAATAAATTTGGGGGAAATGTTGCATTATTCACTTGAGAATTTGAACAACTCTGCATTCTACCAGACATATTTAGAACCAGCATCAAACTGGTAGTAAATGGCTGTAAAGTGTAAATAGACACCATATATCAAGGGCTAGTCCACTTTTTCTGCTTCTGTTATTTAATCCCTTCCTTGAAGTAGCTCTCCTTTTAAAGTCCTTGAAAACAATCATGTAAAAGCCATGTATATATGTCAAAACAGCCGGTCACTTAAGAAAAAGGGCAGGAGAGAAATCATGTTGGTTATTGTGTTTGAGCAGAACTCCTGATTGTTTTATTTTTTTCACTTTTTATTCAGTTTTGTTGGAAAGTAGAACATTAATTCATTCACTTTATTTAGTGCCTCCAGTGTGTTAACTTTGTTTAGTGCTGGGGATATAAAGATAGAGAGATTGAGTCTGCTTTTTTTGTTTTTTTGGCTACACTACCATGCGTCATGCTTGACCTTAGTTCCCCAGCTAGGGATCGAACCTGTGCCCCCTGCAGTGGAAGCATGGATTCTTAACCACTGGGCGGCCATTGAAGTCCTGAGCCTGTTCTTAAGGGATTTAATGATTAATAGACAAAGATGGGTATGTATACAGTAACTGAATTATCAGATACCATGATAGAACCAGGTAGTCTGTGCCATAAAGACACTTGAGGAGTGGTCAGTTCTGCCTTTGGGATGGGGATGGATAGGAAAGTCTCCCCTGAGGAAGTGACATTTGAGTCTTAAAAGTGTGAACATGGGGCTTCCCTGGTGGTGCAGTGGTTGAGAGTCCGCCTGCCGATGCAGGGGACAAGGGTTCGTGCCCTGGTCCGGGAAGATCCCACATGCCGCAGAGCGGCTGGGCCCGTGAGCCGTGGCCGCTGAGCCTGCACGTCCAGAGCCTAAAAAAGTGTGAACATGGAGATCAATCAAGTAGATAGTGAACATAGGTAAACAGCCTCCATTGATTCTTTTTCTTTCCATCCCCTGCCATTTTTTTTTTTTTTTTGTCGATCAGATATAGTATGTGGAAATGTCAGAGATATGGTACCAATGGAAGAGTAAGAACAAACCACAGTGGTAACAGGGCCAAAAGAAGAAAGAATTCAAAAAATATAAAGATTTTTGCCAAGATGAGTAAATTTGTTTTATTTTTGTTTTGACCTTGAGCTTTTACAATACACTATTTCCTCTTCTATCTACCTGATCACATGCTCCCTTTAAATGTTATTGTAGCCATATTGCCTTTGGCCTTATAAAATGCAAATTATACTATGCAAAAGCAATTTTAATATAGGAATTAAATACAGACTCCATTTGTTTTCACTAAGTATGTGCTATAATCAGTGAATATTGATCTGTATAACTGATGGTAGAATTTAGCTTGGAGTTAAAATATGGCAGAAACTGAAACATATTTGAGGGAGGACTTCAATAACAAATATGTGGGGTTTGGGTGGTTTGGATTTTTGAATAATGTATTTGAACATGGGTTGAAGGATGGGTCTGGGAGTTTTTTTTGTTGATTTTTAAGAGGAAAAATATCATCTAAGTGTTTAATTTATCTTTTTATTTAAAAAAAGAATATGTAATTGGATACCTTATTACTTCAGTGAAAGGCATATGCAGGGACTGACTGTATTCCACTGTCATTTGTGTTCCAGTCACCAAGACCCAACTGTAGAGAAAAGGGACTACACCTGCACATAGAGATTATGTTTTGTTGGAGTAACAATTTAGAATAGTGATTTTCAAATGACTTCTGCATCTTCCGGAAAACATGTTAATGTATAGATTTTCAAGCACTCTTCCTCCATCTCCCACTGTGAGATTCAGATATAGCTGGTCTGGGAAGAGTCCCATAAATCTGCATTTTTAATAAGTACTCCAAGTGATTCTGATATAGATGACCTTGGATTATACTTTAAGAAAGGCACCGTAGGGAATTCCTGGCGGTCCAGTGGTTAGGACTTGGCACTTTCACTGCTGTGGCCCCGGCTTCAGTCCCTGGTCAGGGAACTAAGATCCCACAAGCCATGCAGTGCAGCCAAAAGAAAAAAAAAAAAAGGGACCATAGAAATTTCATGCTGAAATTTTTCGTATATGAAATTTCATAATGCAGAATATAGAGCTATTAAAAGGCAAAAGGCTTGGAACAGTTCTTATAGATATTCTTCTTACTGACTTCTGCTAAAGAAAGATGACTTCCTTAACTTAATTAATGCCTGTAAGCGTGAGGGTGATGATTATATATGGTATTGTTAGTTATCCTGTTCTTTTTCTTCTCTCTTTCTCACTCTCTCTTTTTAAAGATTTTTCTATTTTTCGTATCCTCTCCTGATTTTTCCACCTGTCTTTCAGTTGTTCTGTATCTACATTGAAAATATATAGAGACATTGCGTACTATACTATCTCCTTTATAATCATAATTTAGCCTTAGGTCTTAATCATAATTTAATGTTCAGTCCTTATGTTGGATATCTCCCACATCATTTTGTGTGATGAGAGCTTAAAGTAGATTCTTTAGAAGACTCTGTAAGAAGGGCTCATGGGAGCAATATTTCCTAAGTATATTCATAACAGTTTATCTGTAGCCTTGTTATACTAGTGAACAAGTTTAGCTGGCTATAGAATCCTTGATATGGGAATTTTCTTATTTTTTTCTTGAATGCCTCAATTTTTCTCTTCTTGAATACTTAAAATATATTATTTCTTTGTCTTGTGGCATAAGTATAGCTGTTGGAAAGTCTAATTGCAATCTTATTATTTTTCCTTATAAATGACTTCATCTTTTTTGTGTGGTAGTCCAAAGAATTTTTATCTTTTCATTTAAAATATAATACCTTTTACTAGAATAATCTCAGGGTTGGCTATTCTAAGTTGATTGCCCTAAGTTCGGGAAATTTGATTTAAATATGTAGATTTATATCATCTTTTATTTCGTGAACATTTCTTTAAATTTATTTATTTATTTATTTATTTATGGCTGCGCTGGGTCTTAGTTGTGGCATGCGGAATCTTTGTTGTGGCATGCAGCATTTTCTTAAATTACAGTTTTTAGTGTTGTTCTGCCCCATTGCTTTGCTTTTCTTCTTCAGAGACTCCTATTATGTAGAAGTCCCCCTCCCCTTGTTCTATCACTTTCTCTCAAATCTCTTTAAAAACATATTTTTATTTTTTACCTAAAATATTTTTTCCATTTTCCATTTCTCTTCAGGCATTATTCATTGTGTTCATTTACTCTTTAGTTTCTTCTAGTTTAGTGTTAATTTCTTAATTTAAACTTGTTTGATTCTTTCCTGAGTCCTTTATCCTCTCTTTCAAACCTCCATTTCCTCCATTCATATTAGAGTTTTTTCAATTCTGATTTGTTTCTTCTTTTATAGTTCCTATTATTTAAAAACATTTCTTTTCACTTGTTTTGAAATTTTAAGTTCCAGTTTTCAGCTTTTTGTAGGGATGTCTGACATGTTTTCATTATCTCTAGGGATATCTTCTACATTATTTAAATTCTCTTTCCTTTTGTTTCCCATCATAATTCAATCTCAATTTATTTCTGTTGCTCATTTTAAAGTGAAAGTAGATTTCTTTAGCAAAGAGGTAAAAACACATGGCCCCATATGCTTAAGATTTGCTTCCTCTGTTCCCTTCCTCCATTTGTGTCTTGAACTTCTCTTTCCTTTGCCCCATTTCTCTGTCCTCCTTAATTTGATCCTATTTCCAGAAGTTTCTCCTCAATACAGGGATTTGACTTGAAAGAGAGTTTTGTTCACAGGGGCCAGACTGCTTCAGCACCGACACTCAGACCTATCGCCATCCCATTGCTCTCACCTACAGACTAGATCCTGCAGGACTGCCACCTGGTTTCAGCTGAGTTCAGATTAGCTTTCTGTACTTTCTAACGAGTCCTTGATGGTAGTTTTGCGGTTCTCCTGATGCTGTCCCCACTAGCCTCTATTCTGAGGTTTGAGGGAATATGTAGTCATCTAGTTTTCTTGTGTATATTCTTGGTGAGTTTTTGATTTTGCAGACTAATTGTTCTGTCTGGGTGTTTTTGGAGGGGGAGCAGGGCAGGGAAGAGGATTCACAGAGTTTCAGAAAATAAACCACTAACCCCACCTCAATCTTCTTTTATTTATATTTTTCAGGTATGTGAATATATCTTCTCAAGTAGATTTCTCAATTTCTCTACAGAAAACAATTTTTAGAAATGATACCCACCATTTATTGAGTACTTACTACATTCCAGGTACTGAACGAATTAAATGTTTTATAAAGTATTCATTGAGTTTTACAACAACCTTTGGATGTAGTTACTTTATGCCCATTAAATAAGGGTAACCACAGTTTAAAAAGCTAAAATATTTGATCCCAGGTTGGGGTAGGCAGCTTCTAAGTTGGCACTAATGAACCCTGCCTCCTGGTGTTCATGTGCTTATGTGATCCCTTTCCCTCCGCGTGGATGGGATCAAGTGACTTGCTTGTAATAAACAGAGTATGGAAAACATGATGGTATGTCACTTCTGAAATTAGCCCACAGGAAGACTGTGGCTCAAGCACTCACTCTCTCTTGCTTGCTTGCTCATCCTGATGGAAGCCAGCTGCCATGTTGTGTGTTGCCTTAGGAGAGGCCCATGTAGAACGATCTGAGGGACGCTTCCAGACAACAGCCAGCAAGGAACTGAAGCCCTCCGCCCAACAGCCCATGAGGAACTGGATACAGCTAACAACCACATGAATGAGTTGGAAGTGGATCATGGAGCCTTTGAATGAGACCACAACTCCAGCTGACAATTTTTTTTAAATTAAATTTTATTGGAATATAGTTGCTTTACAATGTTGTGTTAGTTTCTGCTGTACAGCAGAATGAATCAGCCATACATATACGTCCAGCTGACATTTTGATTGCAGTCTTGTGAGAGATTTTGAGCCAGAGGCACCTGGCTAAGTTATACTAGGATTCTGGACCCACAAAAATCCACAGATAATGTTTGTTGTTTTAAGCTGTTAATTTGGAGGTAATTTATTATACAGCAAGAAATAATTAATGCACAGGTCATAGAAGTAATAAGTGTTCCAGTTGACCTTGAACACAGGGGTTCTCATTCCAGGGTCTATATTCACCTCTTTGTGACACTGACCTTGAGTAGCCTTTAACTTTATGAGCTACTATTTCTACCACATTGAATTTGACGGTCTTCCTGCTCTTCCTTTGTTCTATTAATTTTTCTTTAAAAGAACCTTTTCTGCGTAGAAACTGCCTGTTGCTGAACTGAGTAGTAAGTGAGCACTTTCTCTAAGTCATGGAAATTTGGAGTCAGAAGGAACTTGAAAATTCATATAGTCCAGACCAACCTGTTCCCAGTTTTTACAGGTAAGGAAATTAGGTCCAGCAAAATTAAGAAACTTGCCTAAAGTTACAGAATTAGTGAAAGAATGGAGATTAAAATCCAGGTCTCCTGATGTCCAGTTTAGGACTGTGGGCAGGTACATACTGGTAGTTCTACATGGTCGTAGCTCACAGCACGTTCTGAATGTGCAGTAGATTCAATTTGATTCCCATTCATTTTCTCTGTACAAAAACAGAGGGATCATGAAGGGAACAGCCGATGATGAGTAGGATATTTACTTCCTTTGCTCTTAGGCTCACCTTCTCTGAAGGAGAGGTCAACAGTCTGAGTCCAACTGAATGACTATTCGTCTTCCAATCCCTTAACCACAGCACTGGCTCCAACATGGCAATGAAGTTTCATACTCAGAGCCAGCTTCAAATGATTTGTCTTGGCTCTTTGGATTCATTGAGAAGCATTTCCTGAGCTGGAGTGGAAGGGGCTGTGATCAACTAGTAATGTCAGCCATGAGTGGAGGTTGAGGGTGTGGTAGACTTTGTGCCATGTATTTGCCCACTGGTGTTTCTGTAGTTTTGGGCCTGGTCCTTCCTTTGATGACCCATGCTTTTCCTGCTATGAACGATTCTTGCCACACAAGCTGCCCATGAAAGCCCTCGTTTCTGGGATCTTTTTCTTCTCATTTGATGTGAGGTTTAGCACATAAGTGACATTGGTGAAATTTACCTTGTAACTGAGTATAGTGTTAGAAGAGGAGCCAGTTCTCACATCCCTGAAGGCTGGATGCTTTTATGGCTCCATTTCTGGCTAGATCTGAAAATCACATTGCCAGCAACCTGCCAGTCCATCAAAAAAAAAAAATGCAGGAAGGTACAGTTTTGCACATGCTTACTCTGTTGTCTTTTGCTAAACGTTCCCTCTTCTTCAGTCCCAGGGGCTCATGAGGATAAATTTGCACGTTAGTATTAGTCCGGTTATCCTGAACGATAGGGTAAAATATTGGTATTGTAGATCAAAAGCACAATTAACATGTGCCTTGAAACTTGGACAGAAACTTGTAGGAGCTGTGAGGCTGAGGCTTATACATCTCCGTGGGTGGTAGTTTCAACATGGCACTGCTAGCTTTTTTTTTTTTTTTTTTCCCCTTTCCCATTTTGGTAAGTGGAATATTGGGCAATGTTGGAATTCAGTGACTGGGAAAGTTTGTTTCCTCCTTCTATTCTTCTATCTGCTGTTTAACTTTCTTCTTCCATTTGGATTCATTCTATTCTCTTTTCAGTGACCTACGTTTTCTCTTTTCCTTTTCAGCATTGGGGTATTGAAGCCCCAATGAAAATGTTTACTTTTCATAATATTCTTTATCAGAAGCCTATTTTATTGAAATAGTGATAGAATCCAACATGCCCTCTGGCAACTAGATAGTCTCTGCCCTTGACTTCCGGAAAACACAAAACCATTCCTTTCCTGATGAGAAAGCTGTAAAAACTTGAACATGCCTTGATGCTTTGAGCTGTGGAATTTAGGCAAGTCACTTTTGTTCTATATGCTTTATTTGTACCCAGATATAAATGTGTGTGCCTGTGTGTGTGTGTGTGTGTGAGAGAGAGAGAAAGAGAGATCAGTAGTTTTGTGAGCCTTTGGAACCCTGGGATCATGGAAGGAAAAGGTGAAAATTGAGCTAGTAAGAATCCCCTATCCTTTTTCGACCAGAATAACTCTGTTATTATTAGTTTTCTATAAGAGCTTTCTGCATTAGAGTTTATGTGAAACACAGATTCTGTTTTTTAAATGTGAAAACTACCAGCATCAATGAGCCTCAGATTCCTTCCACCACTAACAGTTTGCATTACCTCCATGTAATCAGGCCCAGACAGGAGAGAAAGCCAGTGTGATGGAACATCATTTCTGTCAGGTGTCTCTGTATTTCAGTCACAACCACTCCAGACTGTGGGTCTCCAGGCGTGTTATCCTCGTGAGGTATTAGCTATTCTCTTCTGTAAAATGGAGATGATAGTTGTACCAACCTTATAGGATTGTGGTGAGAAACAAATGAGATAATTAGCAGTGTCCAGCAAATTAGAAATACTCAATAAGTGTGAGGCGTTACTGTTAGTCTGAAAAGACTAAAAGACATGCTACATGGCATGCTCATCTTCTTTTATTACTTCATTTGTGTTTATGTCAAGTAAACCTCCTCCTAGAACCAAATATAAAGGTATTAAAATAGAATATCAATACTTTGCTGCTCTTTTGACACTACAGGGAAATTTTATATAATTTTAGAATGTTCACTTAAGATCTCTAAAATATACTGTACCATACCATGGCTATAATTTTGGGCCAAAAAGTTGCAGTGAAAAGTTAAAGTGAAAAAAAATGAGATGGAACAAATAGTTTCTTGGGTGATGCTTTGCTGAAAATCAACTTTTTCATAAGTTTTAAGCATATCTTTGCACAACTTCATTTTTCTTTGAGTTTTTAGGTCTCAATTTTTTGAACTGTGAAGTAAAAGGACTGGACCAGATAATTTTTCAGGTTCAACATTGATGCTTCTCAGTTGATTTTCACATAATCTGGCACTCTAATCAGTTTGTCTCATTTCTCCAGACCTCTGTTTCCTCAGCTGCAAATTAAGAAGAGAACGTTCCTACCTATCAGCTGGTTTTAATTCTAGCATCAGAGTTTTCTAACTTTTCTATTTATGCTCTTCTTCAACTTGGTTACTCTCTGGTTACATAATCATCCAAACTGTATCACAAAATAATTTCTAAACATATGTTTCTATGTGCATGGTTAAAAGCTTGTTAGACTATATAGTACCAGGCAATTGCTGGGTGTTGGAGACACAGTGATGTAAAGATACATTTCTTGCCTTCGGGAACTCAGTCATCAGATGTATAATCATGATGATGATAAAGACAATAAATGCAAAGATAATTGCTTTAATGGGAATGAGCACAGTATTCATTGAAAACAAAAGGTAAGGAGAACCTAGATCAGCCTGATTGTGAGGTGTTTGTGAAGGTCAGACAAACAAAAGGGGAGAGAGTGTTCCAGCTGGAGGAATACTATTTGCAAAGCACAGAGCTCCAGATGAGAGAGCAGGACTAGACAAGGAATTACAAATTGCTCTGCACTGTTGGAGTGTGAAATGTACAAAGAGAATGAGTTGGGATTGCTAAGCGAGGGGACTTCCAAGAGCTTTGTAGGCCATTGAATTGAGTAATATCTGTCCGTGTATTGAGATTATTCAAATGTAAGTGAAATGCCAAGGTTTTAAATTTAAATTGAAAAGTAGTTATTAATATAAATTTCTGAAACTCTTACAAAAATACATCAGTTTAGGATCAATAGTTTTGTATTTTGTCTTAGAAGAAACGAATTCAGGGAAACTAATTAAGAGAATCTGGAAAAGAACACCAATCCATTTTACTTTAAAAGTTCTCAGAGGGGGCTTCCCTGGTGGCACAGTGGTTGAGAGTCTGCCTGCCGATGCTAGGGGACGCGGGTACGTGCCCCGGTCCCGGAAGATCCCACGTGCTGTGGAGCGGCTGGGCCCGTGAGCCATGGCCGCTGAGCCTGCGCGTCCGGAGCCTGTGCTCCGCAACGGGAGAGGCCACAACAGTGAGAGGCCCGCGTACCGCCAAAAAATAAAATAAAATAAAATAAGTTCTCAGAGGAGTTTTTTCATTAGATGACCACTAATCAAAGTTCGGCGTGCATTTCTAAAGTAAATGTAAGATAACACTCCTTTTTTTTTTTTTAAAGTCTTATGGATTTTCATATTTTGTAAACTTGAAGATTTAAGGTGATCTTAGTTATTTAAGTTTTTCACAGGGATTTAAAAAAATTATTTATTTATTTGGTTGCTGTGGGTCTTAGTTGCAGCAGTCAGACTCCTTAGTTGTGGCATGCAAACTCTTAGTTGCAGCATGCGTGTGGGATCTAGTTCCCTGACCAGGGATCGAACCCTGGGCCCCCTGCACTGGGAGTGTGGAGTCTTATACACTGCGCCACCAGGGAAGTCCCAGACTTTTCTTTTTGAGAGTTTTACTCCATTAAAAAAAAAAAAAATCTGCACGATTACCTGGCATCTGATCTGTTCCTATCCTTCCGAGTAACTGAAATTTATTCTTTTCTTGAATGATATAGGAAGATAAAGACAAAAAAAAACAAATATACTTAACGGAAACAAAGATTTTCAATTATTCAAACTGTTGTTCAATTTTTGTAGAAAGAGCACAGCACTCAATGTTGTGAATTCAAGGTTCTGTTATTTATATACCATTTCAATAATGGTATTATGTATTACTTCATTACCTTTTCTATAATCAAAGTTATACATCCATATGGTTTAAAGAATCAACTTGTTCTAGAAGACTTGTGTAATAACCAGAAGTATAACATATGCCTTCCCTCCATTTCCCATTTCCTACAGGCAACCACTTCCAACACTTTCAGCTCCATTCTATTTTTA